TCAGAACACCTTCCTAATTTTAAAAATTGCTTTTATCTCTTAAAGTTCATTAAAGGAGCATCCATACACAAAGTGTTAAGTAAGCTGTCAGCATAGAGTGAACCTTTCTTTGTACATTTCTGGTAGGATAATATTTTCTGTATGCAGCAGAGACCTTCTCATTTCCTATGTTTACAGTGACCCAAGTAGATTCTTGCTTTCCAACAAATAAACAACAATGTCCTGAAGAAAAAGACAAGGTAATTTTGATTATTTCTATTTCATTAGACTTTATGAAAATGTACTTAGTCTCTGTTGATGGCAATAAGTACTATTTTACATTTCAGCAGAAGGCACAGTGACATTTTTAATGGAAAGATTTCCAGCCCAATCATTAAAATAACAATACTTAGCATATTTTACAATACTGCATACAGACAAAGTAGACTTGCATGAGCAGTTTCTGGTGTAAACCACATGGGGCCTCTCCTCGCAGTGGATGTAGATCAGTACTTGATTGGGAAGGCTGCGTAACTCCCAAGCAGAGGGGCTTCTCTTTGCTCTAATTACTCACTATAATTCACACTGTCTTATTGCCTAGATTTTATAGTTCAAATGATAATATTCCCTTGAAAACCGAAAACCCAGAAGACTTCAAAGTTGTTTTTAAGTAATTATGATCATTGTTACTACTGCTCCCACTATGTTGTTCTGAATACTGTTCTGAAGACTACCACTATGTTCCAATAAAGCCCAGCTTCAATTTCCTTCACCACTTGCCCGACTTCCTCCTTCTTCCCAGAATTTACTAGTTCAGATTCCTAACAGCTGAAACCTGGCTGGCTCTGCTAATAAATATTACCTCTGTGTGGCAGTGGGTGCCCCCCCCCACTTCATGGAAGATGTATCATAGAGTACCAAAGCCAAGGGAGAGCTCTATGCAGACTTCTGGCCAGAACCTATCTTGTTTGGGACACAGGCTAAGTTAACTTAGTGTGGTGTGGATGCTGTTGCAACTCCCTGTTGTGTCTGAGGCTGGTCTGCTGTACACAGATTACTGTTTTGTCAGAAACACTTGGAAATTCGTGAAATATAAGGTAGTCGTCAGTCTCATTATCAGGGATGGGCAATTAGGGTAGACTCTCCACTATTGCTTAGTTTGCCAGTTGGTGTCATCCTTGTAGATCTCTGGAAATCCCACTAGTGTTAGCTCTCTCCTCAAACCTATAATGACTCCCTTTATTATAGTGTCTCTCATCCTAGTCTCCTCCATTCTTTCCCCGACTCAACCTTACTGCTCCCCCATATCTCCCCTCCTCTTCTCCCCCTCTCTTTTTTCCTGGTTCCCTCTCCCCTCCCCTCATGCTCCCAATATTCTCAGGAGATCTTCGTCTCAGTGGTGCTGCGGTTCTGGGTGGCAGCCTGTATGTATGCTACTGAGTAAGCTGTTTCAGAGGTAGAACAGATGAACAGATTAACCTTTAAACTGAAGACAGATCAGCTGAGGCACAGAGTGAGAGTCTGGAGACACGGGCTAGCATCCTTAGGACAGGGAGTAAACTGGGGAGAGGACCCACACCTGCTCATTCTGAGCCCTAGAGTGTTCCATGTGTTACTTCTCTCACGGCTGCCTTTGCCTTCCCCACCAGTAACTCCCTGCAAGGCTCAGAACTGACCTAAGCAGAGAAAGACTACCATTCCTAGTTGTCTGTGCAACAGTAATTATTTCAGTCACTGGGCAAGTCCACAGATAGAGGCCATCCTTGAATTCCGCCTACATATGACACAATTTGCCAATTGCCTACTCATCCAAACTTAAAATGTCTCAATAGTTGCCCTATGTATATATATTTTAAGGCTCAAGTTTATTCATCTAACAGAACTGAGTGTTAACTGAAGATTGAATTATAATTGTCCTGGAATTTCCAATAAGATGATAAATGTCTTGATAGTTTAATTCACTTTTTAGTTTTTTTTTTAAGTCTGTAACATACAATCTAGCACATCCTAGCTGGCTCTCAAATAAACTAATTAGGAAAATGTATTCCAGGGAATGGGCAGATGGCTCAGTGGATAAGAGCACATACTCTGCCAGCACGAGGACCTGAGTTTGAACCCCAAGCACCCACATAAAAAGCCAGGCATGGCTGTGCATTCCTTTAGGGGGCAGAGAAAAGTGGTTCCCCAGAGCTCACTGGCCAGCAACATTAGACAAAATGATAAGCTTTATTCTCTCTCTCTCTCTCTCTCTCTCTCTCTCTCTCTCTCTCTCTCTCTCTCTCTCTCTCTCTCTCTCCTCCTCCTCCTCCCCGCCCCTCTCCTCCCCCCCTCTCACATACACAAACATGAGACAGGGAAGGAAATATGAATATGTATTGTCAAAGGCAAATGATATGTGATTTTAGTTTCCTGAGTGGAAGTAAATCACAGATTCTGCGGCGCTGTAGGTATGCATTAATGTAGCACTCGCTTGCACATGTAGTTGACATTTCAAACAACTGTAGGCGTGATGCTCACCATGATGGACCATGCGCTCAGAAGTTTACAATTGGGACAACTTTGGCTTGATGACTCATAAAACAGTTTTAGAAGGTTTTTCTTTTTAAATTGACTCAATGTGTATAAATAGAGTAGCATTAAAAATTTATAGCCTCATGTATTCCTTTTAGTTATTCATGATAATTTTATTTATATTTTAGTGTTTTAAAAAATTTAAAGACTATTTGGGCCTGCGAAGATGGCTCAGTGGTAAAAGTGTTGACTGTACAATTATTCCAAGTATAAGGTTGCCTGTAACCCCAACTCTGGGATAAAGAGACAGGCAGTTTGTGACCTGCTTAAAAGACATACCCACCAGTGCATTAGTGGCACAAACATTAGGGGGATAACCAACCATTTAAAAATTGGATTTAAGGCCAGTTCAGTGAGAATCCATACCTGACCATTAATGAGGTCAAGAACCTAAGACTCTATAGGCCAGGGGCCTATCTGGTAAACCTATTACTATTATTCTTCCAAAGGTGCTTAGTCATAATATGACTCCTAATGATATAGTGCTAAACCCATAGTCCAGTGTATTGCTTAACCCTCATCAGAGAAGCTTCTTCTTGCAGCAGATGATGGTAAACACAGATACTCATAACTGGACAATATGCACAGTGAGAGACTTTGGAACACTCAGCCCTCCATGGGATGTCTTTATCACTCCCTTCCTATCAAAGCTCAGGGGTCACAGAGAAGTGGAAAGATTGTAAGAGCCAGAAGTAATGGATGACTTAAACAGTGTTCTTCAGACACAACAGGACTGATGCACATATAAACTCACAGAGCTTGGATAGCATGCTTAAGACCTACACAAGTTCTAGCCAGACAAAATGCCAGGACTGATAACGGGAAGTGAGTACAGAGTCCACTTCTAACCAAGAAGCTATATGTAATTGATAGTTGCTGGGAGAGAAAACAAAGCTGAGTTTGTTGCTGAGTGAGATTGATGATTATTTTTCTCCTCTTGTAGCATGTATAAATACCTTCCAGCACTGTGAATGCTAGTCAGAAGGGACGAAGCTTCTAGTAGAACCCAAGCTCAATTTCTCCATGTTTAATGACATGTATATGTGCTGACTTCAGCAATAGGTTGTAGAGGGTAGCCGATAGCATTGCTAATAGGTTGTGATGGTTTTTAGTGGTGCTTATGGATTCCTTTGACAATGACCGAAAGAGTCGTGACCCATTCCTGGTATTGGGGATTCTATTTGGTGGCATGTGATGTCTATTTGGGTCATTTTCCCCCATTATATGTAATTCCTTTTAAATTTGTTTTATATAGGTGTGTTTTAGGAAGCTTCTTTAGTGGTAGGTTTCCTTATGAAAGATAATGCAGCAGTAAGACCACTGGCTGCTCTTGTAAAGAACCTGGATTCAATTCCCAGAACCCACATTGTGGGTCACAACCATCTCTAACTCCAGTTCCATGGTATCTGACATTCTCTTCTAGCTCCATGGGCACTGCGTGTAAGTGGTACATAGACATACTTGCAGGTAAAACATTATCTAAAGTAAATACATAAACATCTAATCAGATGAGCATCCAATCATACAAGAAGGTTCTTTACAAGACTTTAAGAAAGATAGCTTCAAAATGTTGATGATGTTTTGCTTTTCATTTCCTTGCTTTTATTAGTATGCAAGTGTGTGTGTGTGTGTGTGTGTGTGTGTGTGTAGATGTGGTGCTTGGGAGTCTGTGTGCCTGTGGAGGCCAGAGGACAACTTGGGAGAGCTAGTCATCTCCTTCCACTGTGTGAGTCCCAGGGACTGGAGTTAGGCTGTCAGGCTTGGCAGCAAGAGTCTTTACCTGCTGGGCCATCTTGGCCTCCTTTTTCCCATTCCTTTTCATTTTCATTTTCTGTGTGTGATAGAAACTAATAATCTGTAAGAAAAATAACATAGATGATACATATGGTAAGATATGGGTAACAAATTAACTTTCTGATGGAAAGCTGTAGTTTAAAAAAAACCTAAATTATCTTTTTTTAAAAAAAAAAGGGTGTTGCTATAGTTTCCTCGCCCCAGTGCTGGATGGGGGAGTCGGCTCTGCTCTGTCATGGGATAACAGGTGGTAGAGGCAGTTCAGTTTTGTCTATCTCCTTGTCGAAGCTCTAGCTGCCTAGGATCTTCCCTCCCTCCCTCCCTCCCTCCCTCCCTCCCTCCCTCCCTCCCTCCCTCCCTCCCTCCCTCCCTCCCTCCCTCCCTCCCCGTCTTCTTCCTTCCTCTCTCTCTCTCTGTAAAGTGCTGATTTTGTTTTTAAAAATCTGGATTAAAGAATTGTTAAAGTAGGTATGTGTGAACTTGATGCATGTTTTCAAATGTGATGTATATTCAAAGCCATCTTTTCGCCCCCCCCCCTGAAGCGCTGGGGATAAACCCAGGGCCTGGGGTATGCTTGGCAACCTCTGCTCTGTTCCTGGAGGTTGTCTTCAGCTGCAGGACCCTCATTAATCGCCCTTTCTTTTTCGTTGTTGTAGTGAGTTGCTGTCCTCTGGTTATGTAGAGAGACACATCGAACGTGGAGGCAAGGCTGTGGAAAACAAAGTAAGTGAACTTTTCCTTTCTTGGTGAGGAATCTTTTTAAACGCTGAGTTTGCAACCCAGGACTTAGCGCTTGCTGGCCATGCATTCTACCAACTGAACTGGACTCCTTAAATGGAAACTGTACCTGATTTACAGAATGCCCAGAAGTCAGTCTTTTAAAGGGCTCTGCCCACTTGTTAGAGCTTCCCTTTGCGAAATGTCAAGCCCAGTGCACTTGATTTGGGGTGTGAATATGAATGTGAGAGGAGGGATACTTTCATATGAAAGATGTAATTGCTGCTTTGGTAAACCTTTAAAATTGCAATTTTAATTTAAAAATACTTTAAAATGTAATCCTAAGAGGTGTACATAAAACCATGCATGGGCCGATGACTTGTTAAAGGTAGGCACCTGTGGCTTCCATCCAGCTCTAGCTGCTTGATCAGTGAGCCCACCTGTTGCTTTGCATACCCAAGCCTCACCCCCTCCCTCCTGCAGAGAGCCTCATAAAGATCTTCCTCACAGTGAGGCTGTCCTTCAGCGCTGTGATTTATAGTTTATCACTGAAACCCATAGCTCTTTAGTTCGGTTTTGTCTATTTGTGCTATAAAGTGTCTCAAATTTGTTTGATCATTTTGTTCTCAGTTTAGTTGTTGAAGAAATGAGATTGTTTACCTTACTCGGTGTCTCATAGTCTAGATTTTAGAGCGGATTATAATTTTATATTTAGAGCAAGTAAAATCCACCCAAGTGATAAAACCCACCTAAGTGCTTAGGGTCTTTAGAGCATTTCAGGTTTCACTGAACGCAGTTTTGTCTTTCACAACCTGATTTCAAAATTCTTTCTTTTATGACTGTTTTTATACCTTTCCCTTCTAAGGTTATAAAAAGTCTTTATATACAAAAGGGATACATACTTTAATTTTTTTAATGAGACAAAAATTTCATCTTTAACTTTTGTGTATTTTGAGTCATTTAAAAAACTAAGTTCCAGGAGCTAGGGAGAGGGGTCAGGAGTTAGAGAGAGGGGTCAGTCAGCAAAATGTGTACCTTGCAAGTGTGAGGGTCTGGGTTCTGGTTCCCAGCAGCTGTGTGAGAAGCCAGGCGGAGTCACCCACCTGAAATCCTGCCAATGGTCAGGCAGAGATGAGACCGAGGATTCCTGGGGCTGGTTGGCCAACTAGGTTTAATCAAATTGTTCAGCTCGATGTTCATAGTGACAACAGATTCCAAAACAAACAGTTTGCTGTTCTTACGTGGGAATTTGTTTACATCACTGTTTCTGTTGTTTTTTTTGAGGGGTGGTCTTAGAACTGAACTGAATCTGATTGTACTCTGGATAACTGAAATTTCCCGTTACATAGGCATAGTATTCAACACTAATAATGGTCATAACTAGCATTTACCATTGATGATTTGGTTGTACACACACTTATATTTGTTCCACCCTCAAAGTGCCTGTTATCATCAATATGATTGCTTTCATGCTTTAGAGAGAGCTGACACAGCTGCAATGTGAGCCTAGATTCACTAACTTCATGGCCAAGCCAGAGATCATCTACCAGACAGATTATTGCATAAAATAGGAGGGCCATGAAAAGTTGAAATGGATTTTATTATTCATATGTAATCGGTTTTGGAGGGTTCTAGTAACAGTACCAATACATTATTGCCTTTAATCCATAAATAAAGTGGTAATTTACTCAAAGACTCTGTTTTCTCTCAGCTTGGGTTAAACTAACTTTGTTTAGTTTTTCTGGATTGTCAGTTGCCTTACAGCAATGCTGGTGACACACCTGCCTCATTTTCCCTGCATGAACATCTTGGGAAAATAACCCTTGAGCAAATGGAAAATCATTTTCGTGTACCAGAAACTTTTACCAGTGGGTGAGGGAAAAGATTTCCTCAGGGTTAGAAAGCTAAGTAAACATTGCTGTGGAGGTAAGATTTATCTACCACTAACGAAAGATCATGGCTACTCCTTAGCATTATTAGTTCTGATAGTATTTTTGTTAAATTGCTTTATTTCTGATGGTAATAACCGAAACAGTAACCAATGAGTGTCTATTTTAACAGCTCAAGTTATTTCTAAATATAACTATTCCAACTCACCTTTGTGTAAGGGCTCTCAACAGTAAGGTTAGATGTGTAGAGAGAGGATTGACTTTAGGCTGGCAATTAACTGGTTACTTCTCATTGGCTTGGGCACATTTTATTTTCCCCAGAAACCCTTGCTTTGGAGACTTAATTGGGTTCTCAGTGGCAGGGGAAAGATGGATAAGAAGACAAAGGAGTGCGGGTCAAGGTTAAAGTCTGGGATGGATAAAAAGATGGAACAAAGTGCTGTGTGAGGGAGAGCAGGTGTCAGAGGAAAAGCACTTACTGGCCAGAGAGCTTATAGTGACACTGGAGGAGCCTTTTATGCAGACGTAATGTATTGTAATTTCATTAAAAATATTTTAAGGCAAACCCAAATGGCCCTTGTTTCTGGAAACAGGGAAGTTGACACAGAAACAAAGAGAAAGCCTGGGTTTTTCTGTACCCATCTTTCCACCCTAAGAATGTGAGTGCTATGAAAGATTTCTTGGGTGAGCTTTTGCGCTTGCGTGCGTGCGTGCGCGCGTGTGTGTGTGTGTGTGTGTGTGTGTGTGTGTGTGTGTGTGTGTGTGTGTGTAGGAAGGACTCGGTTCTCTCACTTCACTTTCTGGGGTCCTGGGACTGGACTCAGGTAATAGGTCTTAGCATCAAATGCCTTTACCCACAGAGTCATCTTGGTGTCCCACCATGGACTATTTCCTCCTTGACACAATACCACCTTCCCGCACACACCTGTGCCACTAAATTCATTTTGCGTTCCTTTTCCTAAATCAGATTTCCAGCTCATTTCTTCCTGCCTTAAATAGAGTTTTTTTCTTCCTTAAAATCCTACCCTAATCTTTTTAATTTTCTTTAACAAATATGTCAGTAGCAGGGGGAAAAAAGATACTATAAGGACAGTTGTAAGAAATCATTCAGAAAAAAGTAAATATGGTGACTGTTGGGGCAACAGGTATTTTCCTAAATTTTATTCCTCAGGAATCTAAGCAGCACTGAGAGAAACTGTCTGTCATCTCCATTGAACTCAAGGTTTCTTCTATCTCCTTCTCTAGACTCCTCTCCAAGAAATGCAATCCCTAACCTTCAAGCAGTTCAAGTGTGCTTCCAGTGTGCTAAAAGAATAATGTTTTTGATATTTATCTTGAGATGTTTTATTTGTAAAACAAAACAAAACAAAACAAAGCAAAACCAAAAAGCCTTAACAAATAATTTTAAAGTGTGATGCAACGATGCAGACTTCTCTCTTAGGTCAAGCACAATCAGTTTTCATTAGTGATAGAGTTTGGTTGATCTAAGATGTCATTGTTTAGTGACTACCTTCCATTATTTCTACTTTTTTTTAAATGACAGGACCTTTAGTTCATGTATCCTTTTATATGCAACTAAAATTTTACTCAAATTATCCCACGTACCCTTTGTCTCTGGGCTTTTGTCTTTCTTTATTTCTATATTTCTTTCTTATTACTCCATGGCTTGCTGTGAGGCTGGCTGGCTGCTCAAGTCCTTCTCTCCTGTTCTTGCTTCTAAATATTTTCTTCCCATAATTCTCCTCCTATTTATTCTCTCTGCCTGCCAGCCCCACCTACCCTTTCTCCTGCCTAACTATTGACTGTTTACCTCTATTAGACCAATGAGGTGTTTTAGACAGGCAAAGTAAGATAGCTTTACAGAGTTACACAAATGCATCATAAAAGAATGCACCATTAAACAAATATTCCACAGCATAAACGAATGTAACACATCTTTAACTAGTATTATATGACACTCAGAAGTCAGTCTGCTTTTGCTTATCCTGAGTTTCCTTATTGATTCTCAAAACTTCTTTAACCCTAAAGAATCACAGTTCCTTCTATGAAACAAGATTAGTAAGCCTTTAAGCAGGAAAGGGAAACTGGGCTTTGATGGTCAGTAAGTTTTAGTGAGTGTGTTAGAGCAGAGCCATCCACACCGTTGTGTCAGCTGTAAATTGGGAGCAGAGCCTTGTATTTTTCTCAGATACCTTTTTAGTGCACCTTAGCTTTGGAAGCCACCTTTGAGATGCAGTGCAAGCAGTAGCTGCTGTTGCCAAGCGATTTGTGCAGGACTCTTTTCTCTGTCCCTACATCCTCTCCCTTCCCTTCCCCTCCTCCCTTCCCTTCCCCTCTGTTCCTTTCCCTTCTCTCCTCTCTCTCTTTCAGACTCTGTTATGTAGCTCAGGCTGGCCTTGAACTCAGTTATCCTGACACACCCTCTTGAGGACTGCAACCGCAGTATGTATGCAACCATGCCTAGCTTACTAAACCATTTTTCTACTTAATTATTCTGTTTTTCTTAAAAGAAGTACTCATCAGCAATCCTCCTTTTCCAAGATACCTCTCTTTTTTGTTTGTTTGTTTGTTTTTTGTTTTACGAGACAGGGTTTCTCTGTATTGCTTTGGAGGCTGTCGGTCCAGCCTGGCCTCGAACTCACAGAGATCTGCCTGCCTCTGCCTCCCCAGTGCTGGGATTAAAGGTGTGCACCACCACTGCCCGGCCAAAGATACCTCTCTTAAATACAGCTTTATCTTTTAATTGAGCCACATGATTTTAGTCTAGCATTCTAAGTAACATAGCTTTTTCCAGGGCCTCTCAGATAATACTTAGTCACCTTAAGAGTCACTGAGCCATATGGGCTGGGGAGATGATTTTAGAAAGGAATAAAAAAATGGATCTATTTATAGAAGCTGTTACTTAAGCTTAAATCCTGGGCTGTGTGGAGATAGGGAGGCCTCCATCCAAGTGGCAGGAATTCAGCGATGTGCATCTTAAGGTTGGCTCTGCTCTACCAACTGAGCTATAGCCCCCCCCCCGCTCTGCAGCATAAATTCTTTAACAGAGTATAAGTGTGCAAAGTGTAAATAATGATGGCAAGAATTCAGGAAGCAATGGTAGGAATATTTGGCAAA